GGAAAGTGTGTGTTGGAGGGTTTAACAGATCTTTGCCTGCAGAGCTAATAGGGATAGATGTAGCTCTGAAGTGCCAGAGAGGAGCAGAGTTTATTGTATCATCTCTTTATGCATTGACAACGTACCAGGGCGCTTCTGGGAGCGTTCCTGGAGGTGCTCGTTGAATATTTCATGGTACAGCCTGGTGGCTGTCCAGTAATCCTTTTTCCCTTTCGTGACAGAAACCTCTCTCCCTCCCTAAAGGAGAAGGGAATGAGACAGAGAGACTTAGGGATTGAAAAAGAAAACTAAACCAGTTTTCATAAAACAATAATAGAACTAATAAGGAAAAAAAATAATGGACTATGTGCAAATATATACAAATATTATACTGACCCTGCCCTGATATCAATCCCCACTGATGTTGCAGAGCTGAAAGCACTGGGGCAGCCCCCGGCTCAGCGGCAGAGAGGAACCGGGCACAGGGGCTGGATTTGGGAACTTGGGATCAGGATCAAAGGCAGAAGAAGGAACGGAGTCCTCCTCGGACACCGGCCAGTGAGGAAGAATCCTTATCTGGCGTGGTCCCTCAGCTTTATACCGACTGTGCCATGGGATGGAACGCTCTTGTTGGTCACCTGTCCTGTCTGTTCCTCACCAGAGGTGCCACCTTTTAGTTCCTTGTGACCCTTTTCCTTCCCAGTACCCCCAACATGTTCTACAAGATCCAGCAGTGACCTTGGTCACTACAGAAATAAGTGGAAGGAAGAGCTTTTCTCCATCCCAATCCCTGGCAGTGCCAAAAGCCTCAGGCGTTACCACTTCTAGTAGCAGCCACCGTCCGCAGAAACGCACTGTTCACTTCAGAAAGAGCAGCCTCTTAGAAGAGACTGAGCTGAGAAGTAAAATCACTGAACAGAATTGGTTTTGTTTAGCTCAAACCAGGACGGGGACAAAGCCCGGTGAAGGAGGAGGGTCAGAACCTTCTTTACCCAAATGTGATCGCGTCGGGGAATTTACTGAAGACCGTGACAGGCAGAGAAACCGCTGAGACTGCAAAGTGCTTGTGGAGTCAAATATAATACTAAAACTTTTTAGGCTTCCGGAGGGAAATGAGATTGAATCTCCATTACTTCCTCGATCATCAAAAAGATGCAAACTGCCCCCCCCTTATAATGAATGATCTAGTGCTCTACTGAGTGAAAGAAAAGCCTTTTGAAAAATGGGAATGCTAAGAAGGTTGGCAGTGCTGTACTTTTATCTCATTGGAAAAATAATGCTGACCAAGAGGATATGATGGTAAATTGCTCTGCAGGTCTGCAGCTTTTTTCTTCTTCCCCATCTCATTCTTAGAAGCCAAAGTGCTCAGGTCTAATTAACTTTAAAATGCTTGGGAAATGGCAGTCGCGTTGCTTTTTTCAAGCAGTGAAGAGATGAGGCAAGCAGATGCAGTAGCAAGAGGTGGTGAGCCTGTTGATAGGACATCTCGTGTACAAGGATTACAGTTGGAAATGTTTAGCTTCTCCCTGTGTCAAAATGATCTTCATTCTGACCAGGAATTCTTTCTTGCCTTTATACTTTTGGGCAGTCGTGCGTTCCTGCGGGGTCTGCTCAGCCTCGGTGGCGAGTACAGTTCAGCATCTGGAATTTTGACATGGTCTTTCTTTGTTGTCAGCCTTGTGAGAATTTGCCTGAACTTTTTGTGTGGCTCAGAGGGTCAGGATAATGGCAGCGGTTAATAGAAACTTAGGGGAGCATACTAAGCTTTTTTGCTTTGAAACTCTTGGCTAAAATCACCGAGATACATCAAGAACCGACTTCTCAGACCCGTATCCTTGTCTCCGTCCAGATTTCAGTGTACGCCCACAAAGAAGCGGCGTTGTTGGAGCTGAGTAAGGGGGGAGGATGCCTGAGGTGGTTTGCAGAGTGGTTACGAGGGAGATGATGGGAATGGTGAAGAACTTTGCCTTTTTCTACCTCTCAGTTTTGCCCTCTCCTCACGTTGCCGTCTCTTCAGTCGGTAACAAACAGCGACGACAGCAAAGGTCGGACGCCAGCGAGCACCGGGTGTTGGGACTCCTGCCCTGCAAAGGTCACAGACGCACCTGACAAACCCAGGGGTTTGTTCATGATTAGCTTGGAGGCTGCTTGTCAAGCTAAGAAACATTATTTAATCTCCTCCCAGCATCATTAGGACGCTCGGGGCCAAAGCTGCAGAAGCGCTCGGGCGCCGACGTGTGCAGCTGTTCACGTAGCGGTTTGTGGAATGTAACCAGGCTGATAGTGGCTCGGCTCGATTTTCTGTGGAAAGTGGGTCACCAGGAATAAGTGCTTTAGCGTTGTGTCATTTGAGGAGAGGACTGAAATAATGTGCAATAACGTCAATTTAACACGTTAAGGCTGGTGTCAGACTTGCACCGGGCGTTTTGGGACTCCTGAGCTGCCGTCGGGTGTGCGGTGAGGTGATTTTAATGTGCTGCTGGACGGAGACATCGAGAGCTTGGTAACATCTAGTGTCCTGGATGCTTGATAATGTGCAGGCAAGAAATATATAGCAGTAACAATGTCTGTGATGGTGTAAAAATATTATTGTGTCAGATGTTAATATATCTCAGGATATCTTGAGCATATCAGTGTGGGATCAAAACTCTACTAGGGCTGTTCTTCAGAGGTAAGAAGCAATTAGATAGTTATTTGGTGACCCTGATGAACAGTGAAGGCGCTGGCTATCCTTTCATCTGCCTGATCTGTCCTCTCCTCCCATCCTGCTGCGCACACACTTGCCGAGGCACGTGAAAAAGAAAACCCTGTTGAAGCTTGTGTGGTTCCTACCAACTGAATGTGACAACTTCTGGGAGAAATCACACTCGGCTGAAGGACAGGCCTTACCTGTGCTGTTCCTGTGCCAGAGAAGACAGGCTTTCGCAGGCTCAGGAAACTCAAGTGAATTCTTACGCGTTAATAGTGGCCAAATCCGTAGGTTTCCTCACCCCAGAGGGCTGAGGACAAGCCACGTGGTGGGAACCACAAGTTGGAGCCTCGGGGGCAAAGGTAGGAAAAGCAGGAGAGGGAATTAATCCTGTTCCCTCTCAGCCTCCTTCAAGTGGAGTAAAACTATCAAGAGAGTTTGGAGCTAAGACCTTGCTGGAAACCTGGAGATGATGTTCAAGCGAGAGATAGAGCAACCGCTTTGGGATTGGGAGTTCACTTGATGCGTGTTCCTGTTGTGTGTTTTATACCCTGAGTGTGTACATACGGTAACGACAGAGCGGGTACCGGAAGTTGAGGGTGCTCAGAAAAGGTTTGGGCAAATTCCTGCCAGAAAGATCCTTCGTCTGCTTCATCAGGGAGCCTGAGCCTGGAATAAGATGTCCTTACATCCACCCCCTTTGCTGCTGCTCTCCTGTATGTGCCAGCTCGGCCGATGTTGGTTTGGGGATTCCTGGATTTGTTGTGTTTGAATTTATTGGTGTGTCCGTGCTCCTGACCAATACTCTGTGGAGGCATGAAGGTCCCGTTCCCACCTGATGTGAGCAAATCTTTGGGGTCTGTGGGTGTCTGTGGCAGGTAGGAGGTGGAAATACCCGATTCTGAAGAGAGCATGTTTGCAGAGAAGGTGATAGGAGAAGGTTTGCTGCTTATAGACAGTAAGAGTTGATCTTCAATAACAACAAAACTGCTGTTTGCCATTTCCCAAGCAGAAAGGTTATATTTGGTGTCAGGCTTTTTGGTGTAAGCAGTGTAAATAGTACTGAAGGATGTGTTGAATCATTGTTTGAACTGTATCAAGCCGGGTGCACTCTTTCAAGTACGATTGTTTTGATCTGTTCCCTGTGTGTTTTTTTGCAGCTTTTCCGACGCGTGGCAGCTGCCTTGCCTGGAATGGAAAGCACACAAGACAAAAGTAGAGAAGACAGTATCCTTTATGCGCCTGGGCTGCGGTTCAGTGGTGGCAAAGCGCTGCCAGGCATTACCATGGACGGGGAAAACGCAGGCCCTGAATAACAAGGATGAAGAAGGAGGGAGCGAGCTCTCTCCTGCAGCCCTTGGTCACCTTATGGACGTCCCAAAAAGAGGCCCGAGAAGGGAAATAGGGGCAAGTAACCTCTGAGCTTGAAGTGCTGAGGAAGAAGGTTTGGTGGGTTGGAAGGCTGGGACTAAGGGTGCAGGTCTCTGCTGTAACACAGGAGCAGACGGGCTGCTTAGGGCTGTGAGGCAGTATAAAAGCGAGGACAACTGAATGAAAGCTGAAGGGAGGACAACAGGAAGGTGCAGAAGGGTGCAAACAGATGCAGAGAGATTGTTTGCTTGGTGTTTGAGCAGGTTGGTGTGTCAAGCGGGAGAAAAGAGCAGCAAAGAAAGCCTCTGTGGTAGTTGCAGATTTGAGTTGCAAAATTCCAGAATAAGCTAGGTTGGAGGAGACCTCTGTAGGTCCCTTCTCCAACCGCTCTGCTCAAAGCTGGGCTCTCCTACAAGGACAGGCTCAGAGAGTTGGGGCTGTTCAGCCTGGAGAAGAGAAGGTTTTGGGGAGACCTTATAGCTGCCTTCAGTACCTAAAGGGAACCCGTGAGAGAAATGGAAGCAACCTTTTTAGCAAGGCCTGTAGCGACAGGACAAGGGACAATGGTTTAAACTAAACCACAGAAGATTTAGACTGGAAGTAAGGAAGAAATTTTTTACACTGAGGATGGTGAGGCACTGGCCCAGGTTTCCCAAAGAGGTGATGGAGACCCTCTCCTTGGAGTCATTCAGAGTCAGGCTGGACGGGGCTCTGAGCAGCGTGATGGAGTTGAAGCTGTCCCTGCTCACTGCAGGGAGGTTGGGCTAGTTGATTTTTAAAGGTCCCTTCCAACCCAAACCGTTCTGTGATTCTAGCTCCAAAATCAGGCCAGTTTCTCAAGGTCGTGTTCAGGGAAACTTCTCTGAGGATGGAGATCCCGTGACCTCCCCGGGCAGCCTCTTGCAGTGCTTGGCCAGAGGGCTCTGGGCAGGCGTCTGTGTGGTGCGAGGGAAGAGAAGACTCAGCTGAAGGGAAAAGGCTGCCCTCTTGGGCGAGGGAAGGGTGGCAGCAAGAAGGATGGAGAAGGGATAAAACTTTCAGTATTACAAGCAATATAGCGATAGGATGAGAGGAAAGGGACGCAAGTTGCACCAGGGGAGGCTTAGACTGGATATTAGGAAAAATTTCTTTACTAAAAGAGTGGTGAAATGTTGGAACAGGCTGCCCAGGGCAGTGGTGGTTTCCGCATCCCTGGAGGTGTTAAAAAAACATGTAGACGTGGCACTCGGGGACCTGGTTTAGTGGTCACGGTGGTGTTGAGTTGACAGTTGGACTTGATGATCTTTGAGGTCTTTTCCAACCTTAACTACTCGATGATTCTGTAAACCTGAATTGCTTACCTGGCCAGCTGGGTGTGTTCGGGGAGGGCACTTAAACCCATGAAGGTGTTTTTGTGGGTGGCTTGTGACAGAGCTGTAGGAGTGGTTGTGGCTGCTGAGCATACCTCTGAAGGTGAGAGAAGTTTTGTGATAACCGAGTTGCTTCTTCCAGTCTCTGCTCCACCTTCAATACCCATTTATACTCACTCAGGTTAGAGAGGAAAGGTGATACAGAAGGCGGGGCAGGATTCTGCCTCCATGTGCACCAACTCCTGCCCTAAGAGTGCTGGACAGGAGGGTGAATGGACGAAGGGTGAGGGAAATTATGGTGGGTACTTCCCAGTGGGAGCAGAGAGAGGTGTCACCACATCTTGATTGAAGGAGCTGATGTGAGGCAAGAAGCAGGTGAGCTCTTTTTTGTGAGAGGAGGAACTTTTTTGTGGTAGCCCATTTTATTTGTGGCAGGGATCACGCCGCTGGGAATCGGAGGGGAAACGGTGCTTTGACGGAAAGATGAGGCAGAAACTGTAGGAGAGGCCGAGCCTGGTGCTGAAACTACATCTCCTGCAGAGCATCTTACTGCGTAGGGGAAAGGAGGATTTGGGAAGCAACCGCGAAGGCACAAGCTTTGCGCCACACGCACTTGGCGGATCAAGACTATGTCGTTATGCAGGTCACCCAAAGGTTAATGAGCAACGGTCTTCGTTAATGAGGGTGGCGGTAGAACGCAGAGAGCGCTGGCTGATGGACCTGCCGTTTCCCTATCGGGGCGTTTGATCCCCGGTCTCTAAATGGGAGCGCTACGAGGGCACTTTGAATTTGGCTTCCTGCAGGCTGCAGATAGCATAAGCCGAATGTGATTGTCTCCCAGGCAGCTGCCCTAGGATTAGCCCGGAGCGGGGGGATTTTTTCCATCGGTGTTTTTGCACAGTGGTGAGGGTTCAAGGATCTTGGAACTGCTTGTGCTGAAGCTCGCAGGGCTCGTTTCGAGCATCTCTGGCGCCTCTAAATATGTATCGAGGTTTAGATCAGCGAAACAAATGGACCCAGTATTTGAGATGAACTATCGGTCTTTTGTTTCCCTTTTTGTGGTTTTCTCCTCACGTCCACAAGAAGCGACTCTAACCCCCTGAAAGAAGCTGGAAGCACCAGCTGTGTGACCTATTTACCTCTGCTTTAACCGATAAGAGAAACGCTGACCTGCCGTGAGTGGGGTTTGGGGATTAATGTTCAAAGCTCCTCCTGGGAAAGGCGACGTGAGTGTTGTAACCGCAGGGAACTCGAGCGCCACGGAGGGAGTAGCTTATCACGGGCTGGTTCAGAGCAGCGAGCTCTCCGGTGACCTTATGTTCTTGTCGGATATTAGCTGTCACGGCGAGGGGTGAGTTCAGGGAGGGCTTCTGGCTGGCGACAGGGTGAGCAGAGCGGTTTAAGTGGAGGGAGGATTGATGGGAGAGTTCAGGATGGCGGTGGTGTAAGTACTCGAAGGGGAGGAGGGGGTTAGCGGTGTGCACAGCACGAGATGGAACGGCTACAGTGTGCTGCTGGGGGATTCTCTTAACAGGGATTCTCTTAAGAGATGCACTGCTGCCTGGGTTTGAGCCCAAACAGCCTCTCCTGCTGCCCCAAAGCTGAGCGTGGACACTGGAGTGAGGGGGAGGTACTCACCGGTTGGGTGTGAAGTATAGAGGAGTTTGAGAAGGAAGCGAGCTGGCCTTCTGCAGGTTCCCCCGGGCTTCTGCGTTCTCACAGAATTGTTGGAGTTGGAAGGGACCT